ATTTCCACTGTTTTGAGGGGATCGGTAGCCCTAGCTGGCCTGAAACTTGCAACATAGACTAGGCTGACTTCTCAGAAATCCATGTGCTACTCTGTCTGGCTCACCTTAATTTTAAAACTTATATTTATTATTTAGTGTGTATGTGTGTAGAGGAGATAGTGTTCATGTCATCACACGTGTGTATAGAGGGGATAGTGTTCATGTCATCACACGTGTGGAGGGGAATAGTGTTCATGGCATCACACGTGTGGAAGGGATAGTGTTCATGGCATCACACGTGTGTATAGAGGGGATAGTGTTCATGGCATCACACGTGTGGAGGGGAAGTGTTCATGGCATCACACGTGTGTATAGAGGAGATAGTGTTCATGGCATCACACGTGTGTATAGAGGGGATAGTGTTCATGGCATCACACGTGTGGAGGGGATAGTGTTCATGCCATCAAGCATGTGTGAAAGTCAAAGGACAATATCTAAGAGTCAGTTTTCTCCCCAGGTGGTGGTGGCGCATGCCTTTAATCCCACCACTCGGGAGACAGAGGCAGGTGGATCTCTGTGAGTTCGAGGCCGGACCGAGTTCCAGAACAGGCTCTAAAAGCTACAGAGAAACCTGGTTTCAAAAAACAAAAACAAAACAAAACATCAGTTTTCTCCTTCCACCATGTGGGCCTCAGGAACTGAACTCAGATCATCAGGCTTGGCAGCAATGTCTTTACTCACTGAGCCGTCTTGTTAGCTCTCTACCCTACTTTTGTTCTTTAAGGCAGGGTCTCACTAACCTGGAACTGCATATGTCCGTTGAATTGACTGTCCAGTGATCTCCAAGGGTTCACCTACCTCTGCTGCCTCCCAGCACTGGGGTTACAGATTTGAACAGCCATGCCTGACTCTGAGGTGGGGACTAGGCTCCTAATTCAAGTTTTCATACTTGTGTAGAAAGCATACCAGCTGAACCATCGCCCCAGCTCTGCTTTTGTCTTTAATAAATGGTAAACATTATATGCACACCAAATAATCAAATAGCTGTTCTAAAATAATAGTATTTATGATTTATTTTCAGTAAATGTTTTAGTTGTATACCTATTTTCAGATTTATTTATTTGGTTTGTCAAAACAGGGTTTCTCTGCATAGTCCTAGCTGTCCTGAAACGTGCTCTGTAGACCAGGCTCCCCCTGCCTCCCAAGTGCTGGGGTTAAAGGAACATGACACCATCTCCCAGTTTAAGATTTATTTTTTGAACTGGGTGGTGGTGACTCATGCCTTTAATTCCAGTACTCGGGAGGCAGAGGCAGGGGAATCTCTGAATTTGAATTAGAGGCCAGCCTGATTTACAGAGTGAGTTCTGGGAAAGCCAGGCTACACAGGGAAACCCTGTCTTGAAAACAAATCAAAATAAAACAAAACAAAAAAAACAAAGAAAATTCATATGTTTGTGCAATGCCATTTGTGTGCAATCTTGTGGGGGTGGCCTTGGTGGTGGGAGCAGAACTTGGGGCCTCTCTAAAAGAGCAGCAAGCTCTCTTAACTGCTGAGCCAGGTCTCCAGTCCCTGTAATACCTATTTTACAACCAATATATCTGATAAAAGGTTTTTTTTCCTGTTGAAATATGAGCGGCGGAGGGGCTGCGTCCCCAACACCCCGGCCGCTTGGCTAGCTTATGCCCGAAATAACAACACACAAACTGTGTTCATTTAAAGAACTGCTTGGCCCATGAACTCTAGCCCTTACAGGCCAATTCTCGCACCTGGACTAGCCCATTTCTAATGGTGTGTGTAAGCACCCCAAGGTGCGCTTACCGGGAAGATTCTAGCCTAAGTCCATCGTGGGTTGCAGCTGCCTGGGAGAGC